GGCCGTTTTATCTGGGGTTTGCAGCCGTGCGGAGACGCCGGGACTCCAGCGCCGGAAGCTGAAGGAGCCCGAAAACAGAAGCGGGACCCCATTCCGCATTTCACGGATGAAGAAACAGCCCACAGCGCTAAAGTGACACGGCCCAAGGTCTCCCAGGTAGGGGATAGCAAAGCCAGGCTTAGAACCTGGTGCCCTGGCCTGTGCTGCCCACACCGCGGCCCTTTGGTAGCTGAATGAGATGACCCTGCCTTTGGCCGAATTCGCTGATAGGAATGCGAACTGGTGGTTGTGGGGTAACTGCGTCCCTGTTTGCTGATGGAGGAACAGCTGGCGTAGAGCACCTGCAGACCAGCGACCAGAACGGAGGCCTGGAGCTGGGCGTCCTTTAGACACCCGAGCCCCCGGGCCGGCGGCCACGCCTCTGGCACTAACGAAGAGCTCTGCTTAAGCCGCTTCAGGTGTGCGCCTGCCTCTGGTTCCCCTGCCTGCAGGTGGCCAGGCGGAGCCTGAGAAAATCATCCTGTGCGCTGACCCCCTCGGCTAAAGAGGTCAGGGGTCCGGGCCCCAGGCTCGAGCTGGCCACCCTGATTCACGTGTTGGCTTCGGACAGGGCCCGGACCAGGGCACGCGGGAAGATGGCCCGGCAGGCTGCGGCAGAGGTCGCTTCAGGCTTTGCAGGAAAACTGGGCTCTTCGGTGTTAGAGCGTTCGCTGTGCGCGTGAGAAAGCAGAGGCAGCTGTCCACTGGGCCTGGTGGCACGAGCAGGTGGTCAGCCCTGCAGCCCTTCCCGCGGTCCTCTCGGGCTGCTCCTGCCCCACCGCACAGTCGTCACGCGCAGAGACTCTTCGCTGCCATGCCCTCGATCCGAGACTGGCATCGATAACCCCATAGCCGTACCTTGTCTGAGAAGTTGTAGGTAGTCATCGCGAACCTCGGTAAGGAGAATTACTACTACCCTTTTGCAGAGTGGGAAACTGAGGCTTGTGGAGTTAAGCAGTTATTCAGTTATGTGGCCTCAGTGCCCGTGAGCTCCAGGCTTACAGAGCTGCCTGTGTTGTTGTTTGAGTTTTCGCGCAAGTGTTCTGCAGTCACCTACACCCAGGTCTCTGCCCTGCTGCCCAGAAAGTTTCTGTGCCGGCTCCATGACCAACTTCCTGAGAAACCAGACAAAGACCGAATGATCGCTTTTTTCCTAGAGCAGCCGACTCTGTGTGTGTAGGTCACATGCTTGTTTCTAACGAAAACATCTTGGGCTGTTTCTCAGCTGCTGCTCAGAATTTGGGACGCTGTTGAGTTAGGGACAAGAGAGCAGCCACTTCGGCACGGGGTCCCCTGGCCCCCGGTTCTCTGGTCCCTGGGGCTTCAGGCCTTTTGGACTAAATGTTGGCCCAGCTTGGAGATGGATTATTGGCACCCCACTGCCATGGTGTCCTCGGTAATGTCTGGCAAAAAGAACAATTTCAGGTCTGTTGTTAGGAAAGCCCACATATTTTGTTTATTTGGTAGACTCTAGTGAGATAATAGGTTGCTGTTCATCTTTTCTAAAATTATAACAGAGGAAGAAAAATATAAAGGGTGCTCACTTTTCTGCTATGTCTTAGCCAGGAACTTGCTTATTAAAAATTTTTTTGGTTCCAGGGATGGAACTCAGGTCCTTGGTCTTGTGAAGCACGCGTCAGAACCATTGGGCCACTTGCTAAATCCCCGGCCCTTGCTTTTTTTTTAAATAATAAAAGTAATATACGTTATTCTAAAAATGTCAGGAAAAATTTAACAGCCGTCTGTTAGCCCGCAGCCCAGAGATAATCGCTCTTCATCTCCTCCCTGCCCTCGCTTTCCCAGCACATGTCTACCTTTGTCCATTAGCAGACGGGAGAGCTGTAGGTGAAGCATCCTAGCTTTTTCTGCTGATGATAAGAGTTGCCCTTAGTGAGTGTGCTGACGCTGAGGTTTGCTCTGAAGTGTCCCTGAAGGCCCAGTGGGAAGGGCCTGTTCATAGCGCTGCACCACGGGAAGGGGAGGAAGGTTTTAAGAGGGCCAAGCCGAGCCCCGGGGGAAGAGGGGGACAAGTTTAGCCCCTTCCTTTTGTGCCGTTCACATTCACTTACTGCCCATGAGTTGAGCAGTTTTGCTGGCCGCAGGCTGGTGCTCTGATGTGTCGCACGCAGAGACACGGTGCCCTGCTGCTCACTCCTGGCCACATGTTGTCGCCCCCTTCCCGTGTGCCACTCAGACCTGCGGCATGGGGAGGGCAGGTGGGGACAGGAGAGATTTCGGGTGGCATGGACTGGGGGCATTGTAGACACAGCCCTGCCCGTGGCCTTGTGAGCAGGTGTTTGTGTGTGTGTGTGTGTGTGTGTGTATGTGTGTGTAGCCTGCAGGGCAGAACCTGGCCGGGAGTGCGGCTCCCAGGGCTGAGTGGGCAGGGCTGCTCCCCTGAGCAATTTGGAGACGAGCTCTTAGTCACAGGGCCTTCCCAGTAAAGGCCTCTGGGCTGCAGTTTCCTTCACTGTAAAATAGGCCACTGACCAGATGGCCTTTAAGGTCTTCGCTCATTTTGACAAAGTCTTGTGGAAGCGCCCTGTCCTCAGATACAATGGTGGGCTGGGCCTGAGGGAAACAGGATCCCTCCCTGGGGCCTGGCGGGGCAGCTGGCTCCTATGTCTGGTGGCTTCGCAGACGCCCGGCTTTCTAAGGGGTGTCAGTCAGCAGCCTCCATAACTCCCTGCTCGCCTGACCTCTGTTTATTGCACACCCACCGGGTGCCTGACACTACACAGTGTCTCTAGTTTCCATAGTCATCTTGCTGTGTGCCTGCTCGGCTTTTCACCGAAGGGGAGATGGACCCTGTCAGACTAGATGGTTCCAGGCCAGGCCGTGCCTCCAGAGAGTGTGGCTCAAGTGACACAAGCAGGTGACATACCCTGCTAGTTCCCAAAGCCTCTGCTTTTAACCCCTTATTTAAAAATAAGAAACATTTTGGGTTCTTCTTCAGGCTGGCATGCTAGGGCTCTCTGCCTCTTTCCCCACACTGCCCTTTCCCAGGCTACTTCAGGAAGTTGCCCCAGGCCCAGGTTTCTGAGGAGGAGGGAGCCATGGGGCTTCAGAGCCTGGCTAAGGTGCGGGAGGTCCTATCCCCAGACCAACCTTGGGCCTGTCGTGCGAGGGACTGCTGTACTTGTGGGACGGCCTAGGACTTGGGCATCATCACCTCAGGTTGAGGTCGCCTCCCAGGGCTGGGGGCAGCCGTGAGCAAGCGCTGGGCTGAGTGGATGGAGCCCTGGAGGTCAGTGAGGGCCACATACCTACTGGTACCTGGGGTGGGTGACAGGTGGCTTAGGAAGCTGTGGGGTTGCTCAGGGAATCCCCTGTTCTTACCAAGCCTTCCTTAGGGCAGAGGAAGACTGTGGGACTCTCAGGAGTCGTGGCCGTGCTGGGGAGCAGCCATGACCATGACCTCTGAATGTGACCTGCTGAAAACCAGTGCCACCCCTTGTGAAAGCTGGGGTGCATTGTGAGAAGGGAACTCAGTGTCCCAGCCCCAGACGTTTCTCTGCAGCCCCAAGTGCTTGTGGCAAAAGCAGTCATTCCCAGTTTGCTTTTGGACCAGCATTTCCCAGGAGGCACTGGGGTTTGCTGTGGCATTTTAAATCCATTTCCTACCAACTCTGCCAGCCTTCAGTGTTAAGGTCAGACCTTTGCTTTTCTCTGCAGTGAAAAGAAAGTCGAGGAAATGGGGTCACCAGGTCTATAATAATGGCGGGAACTGCTGACGCCAGCAGGCTGGGGGACTTCTGTGGGTCACAGTCCCAGGGCCGGCCCACCAGTGTTTTTTCCCATCCCATTCAGCTACATAAGGGAGCAGCCAGCGGTTCTCTGGATGTTTGTGCTTCCTAGTCAGAGGCTGCCTTCAGCCACCTGCGCTGTGCTGTCCCTGTCAACCTCGTGCGTCTCCCTCGGGAGAGCTGGGTGCCACTGCTGAAGGGATCTGACTGGAGAGGCGCCCAGCCGCGCCCCACCTGCCACTCAGGCTCCCGCGGGAGTTCTGTGCGTCACCGGCCCTGGGATGGGGACGCACATCCAGCAGGTTGTTTATCCGCACACGTTCTGCAGTGATCTTTTCCCTGAGGATTGCAGCGCCCTCGGGCTTCAGCAGTGACAGCAGAGCCTGCTGATCTGTCCCAGCGCCCTTCTGGCGCCTGGCGCCTGACAGGGGCTGGGGAGGACATGTCAGAGTGGCTGCAGGGGTACCCATCTGCCCCCCAGTCCACGGGGGATTCAGGGGGAAAAGGTCAGGGGTAGAAAACCCAGGTTTGATCTTCTGTTTTTCCCTTTAAGGATTAGTAGCTTTAAAAAAACCCTGAACATGCATTCTGTCTTTATTATAAAGACGTTGAGAAATGCTGGAAAGTGCAAAGTAAAAATTGTCTGCAGGCCTTCCAATCCAAAGATTACCACCTTTATTCTTTTGTAGTATTTCTCGACACTTTTTTTGTACATACATTTTTTTAGAAAAATTCAGATGATTTTGTGAAGTTTTATATTTTGTTAAACTTGCCAATGTGTGTTTTTTAATCTCGATATATACTGTTTGAAATAAGAGTTTTCATGGTCCGCATCAGTTGAACGCACCAGGGCCTGCATGTGACTGGGCAAGGTGCATTCATCCCCAGGCCCCGGCGGGTGCCTGGCTGTGGGAGATACAAACCCTGTGTGCAGTGCTTTCCCTGCATGCCCACGTCTGCGATGGCCAGTGATACCGAATAATAAGTAGAACAATTACAACGACCCTCCGCAACGGAAGATGCTTTATTACAGCATGCTGCTTTCTGGAATTTTCTACCAACTCCTCCTGGCCTTCACTTGACCAGGTAACCAAACATGGCGGGAGGTGAGAGTGCAGAGAAAGGACGATTCCTGTCTCATCCTGTAGGGTCAGATGTCTCAGCCGGTTCCACGTTTTCCCCACTATTGTCCAGGCGCAGCAGTGCACATTTTTACGTGAATCTGTATTGTTTGCCTAGGCCAGATCCTGAGAAGTAGCATTTCGGGATTGGAAGGGATGACTGGCTTCAGGCTTTGATCTTTCTGCCTTCAGTCAGGTCCTCCACCTGCTTCATCACAGCAGCATTGTTCAGGGATCTGTGTTTTGTTTTTTGTGTTTTTTTTTGAGACAGGGTCTCGCTGCGTAGTTCAGGGGCTGGCCTTGAACTCGTGGTAATCCTCCTGCCTCAGCCTCCTGGGTGCTGCAATTACAGGTGTGTGTCACCATGCCCGGCGCTCTGCGTTTTTAATGTACAACTTAGCATGGTGTTCAGAAGCCTGGAAAAAGAATCTGTAGGCCCCAGGGTAACCTTCATTGGGTTACTTTCTATTTTTTGCAGTGCTGAGGATGGAACCCATGTGCCCAAGGCCCTGGGTTGTGTCCTCAGCACCACCACCAAACAAAGTTTGATCCCTTTTTAAGCCTTTGCTTCACCATCTCCAACATGGGGCGGGGGGAACGGTCACACGCAGCTGAGGTTCTGGTGCTTGGTGCCTGCTCAGGGCCCCGCAGGTGGTACCCACCACAGCCCTCAGTGCCCCGACCCCTGGGGAAGCAGTGGCCCTGAGGGACCCCACGTTTCCCATCTGCGTTGGCCGGAGGGCTCTGCCATCCTGTGGTGCCCTTGTCCTGCCGGCTGAGCCCACTGCACTCCGGCTCTCCTGAGCCGAAGTCCCTCCTACTCCTCGCCTTCCCCATCCTGGGCCTGGCTGGGAGGCGTCGGGGCTTTGGGGAACCTGCAGGAGGAACATCCGCAAGTAGCAGGGCGTTTCTGGTGAGGAAGCCTGAGTGTGAGTCCTGCTTTGTGGGTTATGGGGCAGATCTGGGGGATTCCTATTGTTCCTGCCCACAGAGCTGTCAGGTCTTGAGAGCAGGCTTGTACAGCGGGCCAGTGAGGGCGAGTGATGATGACAGTGGTCCCCAGTGCCGTGTCACCCTCCCCAGTGCAGACTTTGCTGAGGCAGGAGTGGTTTCTGGGGAGCATCCCGTTAGCTGTTGCTGCGGAATGGAGAACCAGTGCCAGGTGCCCTGCTGTTCTGTGCCCGCTGTCCTTCCTGTTAGGCCCTTGGTCCTTTCTGGAAGCAGCCTTCCTCTCTGTTCATCCATTTCTCCTGGAGGCTGCTCTGTGGGCATCTATAAGGGGCTGCCTCTGATGGGAACACTGCAGTGCTTCAGGGTTTGAAGGCAAACTTACCTGCCCTGGGGCGGGGTGGGGGCTGTGGTCTGTGACATTTCAGCTTCAAGGACTCCCAGATCTGCCCCACCGGGTCCAGTGACCCCGGAGATAAATCACAGGCACCCGGAGGCATGGGACACATGGAGGGAGATGGGAACTGATGAACTCATACCCAGACAGCACTGCGGGGTAACGAGAGAGGCAGAAGCTGCTGTGACTTCCAAACAGAGGATTATAATTTAGCTTGAAAAAATTGCAGCCCCTTTTATTTCGTGGTGCTGGAGAACAACCCATCTCCAGGCTAAGCAAGGGCTGTTCACAGTTCCACCCTGACCCTTGGGGCCTCTCTCAGAAAAATGACTGCTGCTGGCGATGCTCAGGCCTCGCGGAGAGAAGGCCCCTGACGTTCCCTCTCCTCGGCCCAACCTGCTGGTTCCTCTCGTTTGCACAGAGTAAGGAGCTAAGGCTGAGAGCTTCCTGGGTCTCATGGCAAGCCGTGCGCCCTCCCCCTGGGCTCTGGTGAGTAGTCTGCTCATTCCCAGCCTCCCCTGGCCCTGGGCCGAGCCTGGTCTTGGGGAGTCCTAGTGAAAGGGTGAGGGGCACCCACATTTGTCCAGGGAGTGCCCGTCACACTGCTCTGGTACAGTGCGCTTCTGCCCACAGCTGCCTGTAGGAAACCTGGGCCATTCTCTCTGCTGAACTAAGCTCCCACCCCTTCGTGAGGCCCCAGCCCCTGCTTGGGACGTTTTCCCCGCTTCCACCACACCCAGTGCTCGCCGTTGTCGGCCTGGGCCCCACGTTCCCAGTGCGTATGTTCACCTGAGAGGGTACCTCTTTCCAGAATGACCCACCTCCTTCAATCCCCTCTTGGCACATGTTCCTAACCTTTAGGGCCACTTGCTGTCCTTGAGACGGAGCGTCCAGTCCTCCTGGCTGGCAGATTCCTCGAACCTCCAGCAGTGCCTGGTCCCTCAAGCCCACTTCCTGGTGCCTGTCTTACTTTGCCCACCCGCATGGAAGGGTCAAAGGCTGAGGAGTTGGGCTCACTTGAAAATCCTGGGAGATCAGCAAGGGCACCTTTCGCTTTGGGACAGTGACTTTCACTGTGGGGTAGAGTTAAAGTCCCTTGGAATAAACCAGGCCACCCAGTGTAGCTCTCTTCAAAACAAGTGGCAACCACAGGCCGTGCCAGGGAGCAGAACTGGTGTCTTGGTGGAAGGGGCGGCCTGCCTTGTTTGCAGATCCTGTAACTCCAGGAGGCAGACTGGCAGCAGAGGCCAGTGTGGGCCTCCTGCGCATGGCATAACTCGGCCAGAGGCCTCTGGGACCTCACGGAGCGTGCAGGGACTGTCCCTGTCTAGGATGCTGTGGGACGCCCTGCCAGCCCCGAAACCAGCTGAGCTTGTGGATTTGGGGCTGCACCAGCTTCCACGGGGTGCTGCTGTGGAAACCCCACACAGGACCCCACAGCAGTCTTAAGGACAGGCTCCCCTCCTCTGGCCTTCAGCGCCAGTCCTCCCCAGGTCCTGCTCTTTCCACTCAGTTGACAGCACTGGGTGGACTTGTCTCCTCCTGGCATTGGCTGCTGCTGCTAAACTCATGGTTCCCACCTCCCTCCATGCAGATCCTGGGACCGGGCGTTTCCTAGACAGCGTCCCCTGTCACCCACAGACACCGGCAGGTTCTTGGATCAGAGTCGCAGTCTTTCCCCAGAATTCCGTCTCCTTTTCCTCCATCTTAGTCCCGCACGACTGCCACCCTAGGTGCCCACATCAGGTGCCCTGCTCACCCTGTGGACTCAGTCCCACCCCTTTGCTGGAATGACCCTTGCAAGCACGCTCTGCTCAGGTGTCCTTGAGGTGACGTAGGCCACCTCAGTGTCACACATGGGACCCTTCACCCCTCCACAGCCCTGGCCCAGCCTCTGCCCTCGTACCCTGTGCCCATCTCCAGCAAATGTTACCTTCTCAGAGAACAGCCTATCTCCCTGAGATTGTGTTTCTGTGCCTCTTGACCAGCACTGGGTTATATCATCTGTCACATGGGTGCGTCTTCATTTTTAGCAGGATGGGAGAGTTCCCTCTTCCCCTTTCTCTCCCTTGAGCCTGGTGCGGTCTTTGATGTGCAGCAATCCCTCCGTAGATATTTGTGGACTGAGTGAGTGAACATCCTGCAGATTCTGACAGCGTGGGTGGCCCTGACTTCTGGCCGAGTCGCACAGGTCTCCGGCTACCCCTGCTGTACAGCCGGCCTTTGATGCCGGTGCCTTAGAAGCTTGCTGGGGCAGCACTTCTGGCTCTTTGCAGCCCTGCCTTGGCCTCCCCAGGACAGCGGCAGGGTCCCTGTGCTCCTTTCCAGGTGCGCCTCCTCCCGAGCAGGGCCATGCTCACGTTCATGGCCTCTGACAGCGAGGAGGAAGTGTGTGACGAGCGGACATCCTTGATGTCGGCCGAGAGCCCCTCGCCGCGCTCCTGCCTGGAGGCCCAGCAAGGCGAGGACGGGGAGAGCGCTGCCCAGTGGGTAGGTGGCACCTGCGGCGGGCTGTGCTGTGAGCGCGGTTCGGGTGGGATCTCCCTGTCCCCACGGGCCCATGTGTCTGGGGGTGGCAGAGCCTTTCTGGGGTCGGCCTCGAGGGATCTGCAGGTCCCTGGGGGTCTCCCGTGGGGCCCCAGCCCTTTCCTCTCCCCTTTCATGACCTGGCTGCACAGTCCTGGAGCAGCAGGGCCGGCCGGTCAGGATGTGGCCCCTCCAAAACTGTAGCCAGAAATAAGCCCTTCCTCTGTCAGCTGATTTACCTTGGGTGTTTGCCACCTGGCGGAAGCCGATGTGTGGATGAGAGCAGACATCGTCCGACTGGGGAGGAAGAGGGGCTCAGCAAAGCACTGGGCTGTGCTCAGAGCAGGTCTTCCTCCCCCACACGAGCCCACCCTCAGGGTTACCACGGTTTCCACGGTGATGTGAGCGCCGTGGTAGGGGAAAAGCTATCGGAAGGGAAAGGCATGTGGGTGGCTGGCCAGGACATGTGCCAGGGCAGGAAGGCCGGTCAGCGGTGCCGTCTGAATCTGCCTGCGCCCCGTCTCCGTCTCCACCTCGCTTGTTACAGTAGTTACAGAACTCCCTGTGTGGACTCTCTCTTCCGCTTCCGCCAGCCTTCATCCCCTCTGCTGAAATCCGAGCTCATTTCTCAGCGATCTCCCTGAGCAGAGACTGCTGAGCTCCCAGGTCATCGCCCAGCCATTTCTCCCTCCTGTCTCCTTTTATCTCCAGGAGCGGCTGTGCATTTTGTTATTTTGCTTCCTGTCTGTGAACTTTCTCAGCTGACCCCTAGACTGGAACTGTCTGTGCAAAGAACCCTTACAGGAGCAGTGGCTTTTTAAAAATCTGCATTTCATTTGGCTGCTACCCTAACAAAGCAGCTAATGACCCTGCGTTGCCACCGGTCCAAAGCAAGTCCCTGCAGCAGGACAGCTCCTGCAGCCGGTGTGTGGCTGGCCAATGTCCTCCGTCCCTTGTTGCTCTGCTTGTCCCCGATGCTGTCCCACCTGCCCAGAGCCAGGTCCTCTTGATGCTTGGTACCCACACAGCCTTCAGTTCAGAGCTATACATTTACTTGCTTGATTTCAGGAGGTAGAAAGTTCAAAGTAATTTCTTCCCCTGCCGGTTCCCGAGTCTTGCTCGCAGTTGCGGAGAGGCCCCTGTGTTCCGCTTGGTGGGTTGTGAAGCGAAGGTCTGACCTGTTCTCCTACCACCGACCCAGCTGTCCCTCCCAGCTCAGGAAGCTATGTGAACAGAACTGAGTGCAACCCTGTGTCCCTGCTCTTAGGAAGGAGAAGGCTCATTTGATGTCTTCCGGATTCATGAGCCATGGGCCTGAGATGCGCCCGCCTTCTCCTCCCTTTGTGGTGACTGGACTCTGCGTATTGCCCTCCTAAGCTTTCCTTGGGTCCTAAAATACCAGTGTCTCCCGGTCTGCACTACAGCTTGGACACTGGTTCTTAGCTCTTGAAAGCAGCAGCTCCCTTCTGGTTTCCCAAATCCCCGCACTGCACCCGTAGATCGCCATCGTGGTGCTCTGTGACCCTCACCACGTGGTTTCCCACAGAGGAGCCAGGAGAGCGAGGAGGACTTCGAGGATGACCCTGACCGCTACATCTGCAGTGGGGTCCCCGGGCGGCCCCCAGGCCTGGAGGAGGAGCTGACCTTGAAGTACGGGGCGAAGCATGTGATCATGCTGTTTGTGCCTGTCACACTGTGCATGATCGTGGTGGTGGCCACCATCAAGTCTGTGCGCTTCTACACGGAGAAGAATGGTCAGCTGTGAGTTGGGTGCCTGGGCCACCTGGCAGGGGGGCAGGGGGGCAGGGGGACGGGCCTGGGGAGGTGGTAGCCACAGCACCTGCAGCTGCAGCTCCCTGACAGGGACAAAGGGAGGCCCGGGTTCACCCTAACTCTGCCTCCTGGCTGCAGCTTGCCTGGCGGCTTTCTGTCAGTCCTGGGTGGTCAGAGTGTGGAGCTTGTGAATGGCTTCCTGCGCTTACGGGGGCTCCACTGGTTCAGGGAGTCGTAGGCATGGCGGCTGATGGAGAAGTGGGCATGGGGCGCTGCCCGGCCTGGATGGCCCAGAGATGAGAAGGGTGGGCAGAGGCCCCAGGAGGGAGAGGTTAACCGGGTGGGGCGGGGAGGCCTTGACGGTCTGTGCCCACAGGCTATGAGCCAGTCCTGGCCAGGGCCCCAGGGCATGACCGGAAGCCTGGACTGCTCAGCCAGTGCTGGAGCTGTGCCAGGGCGGTGGGGCCCGGGGGCTCCTGTTGAGGACCACTCGGGGCAGGCTGTTGCAGAGCTGCAGGCCCTCTGACACCTCCTTGACCTTCTCAGCATCTACACACCCTTCACCGAGGACACGGCCTCCGTGGGCCAGCGCCTCCTCAACTCCGTGCTGAACACACTCATCATGATCACCGTCATCGTGGTCATGACCATCTTCCTGGTGGTGCTGTACAAGCACCGCTGCTACAAGGTGCGGCCGCAGCCCTTGCCTGCCTCTCCCTCCTCCGTGAAAATCTAGTGGGGTTGTTTGTGTGCAAAACGGGCTGGTTTGGGTGCTTATCCCCACCCTCCCCTGCTCCCGTTCTGGGTGGAGCCTTCCTCCTGACCCCACGTCCTAGCTCCTTATCACCACGGTCCATGCCTGTCGCAGGGGAAGTGGACTTAATTTGATTTCGCCTTCTTGGTTCTCTCTCAGGCTCCCTTCACCTCAGCACTTCCCCTCCAGGTCTCTCTGGGTGTTTCCTCCCCCGACCCCAGGGCTGTTCAGAGGCTGTGCTGAGATCTCCCTCCGGGCCGGGGATTGGCCCAGGGCGCAGCGGAGGAGCTGAGGCTGGGTCATGGGCTTCACCTGTCCCCGAGGACACCCCCCAGCTTATAGAAAGTGGCTGCAGGCTGCCCTGAGGACTGAAGGCAGTGAAGCCGGGCGCTTCCTGTTTGACAGCTCAGAGGTGGGGTGTAGGGCTGCTTGTCCCAGGCAGGAGCTGGGCCATTCCCCCACTACCACCAACAGGGAGGCAGGGCCTCCGTATGGAAAGGAGAGGCAAGGAGGTGTGTTTGACTTGCGGACAGCTAGAAAGAGTGTGGGGACTGCCAGCCGGCCCTGCCCAGCCCAGCCGCTCCGTAACGTTCGCTTGGAGTCTGTGACAAACAGGCGGGGCCCGACAGTGGCCCAGTGAGGCGGAGTGGCCAGGGTGAGGAAGGAGAGCGTGAGCCAGATGCAGTGAGCCCCTTCCCCTCTGCCCCCAGCCTCAGTGAGTCCCTGTGGGTGTCCCTGGGTCTGAGCTGGTGGCTGGTGGGCCTGCCCAGAAGGCTGGCCAGTGTCTGGTTTGGGAGCAGCCTGCCCTTACCCTTGGCCCATCCATGCTTGGCCAGGGAGGGACAGGTCTTTCTGAGGGCCGTTTGTAGGTCCTGGGGTGGGAGGGGACTTTCTGAGTGGTCTCTGTGAGGTGCAGCCCTCAGGAGGCCTGTCCTGCCCACTCACTCTGAAGTAGCTCCTCAGTGAGCTGTCCTGCCGCGTCGTCTTTGTAGTCTCATCACCACCTGCAGGGCCATGGTCTGTCTCCCTCCCCGGGAACTGCTCCTGGGCAGACCCTTGGCTTGCTCTCCCACCAGCCCCTGGAATGAACGAGCTAACAAACCAGTGGTGCTGGCACTGTTGGTGCAGGATCGTAGGAGCTGCCCTGTGTACGGCTGCTGAGTGAATGGGGGTGGGCGTGAGGCCAGGGTCAGCAGACCTGCGGGGGTCTCGATGCTCTCGATGTTTGCAGGGGGCTGGAGGAGAGAGCCCCTGGAATGTCTGCTTCCTCTATCTGTAAGTGGCCACCTGACACCTGCTCCTGTGGTCAGAAGTAAGGTACCCAGGCTGGAGCTGCGGTCCCAGGGCCTGGGGCCTGGTGACAGCCTCCTGTTTCTGTTGTCCAGTTCATCCACGGATGGCTGATCATGTCCTCCCTGATGTTGCTGTTCCTGTTCACCTACATCTACCTCGGGTGAGTGGTGCCTGTGAGTAGCAGGGTCCCGGACGCCTCCCGGGAGTGGCTGTGAAGGACTTTGGCAGGGAAGGGCAGCCATTGAGCCCAGTGTCAGCTGCTCCCAGAGCCCAGGGCTCCAGGTCCCCTGCCCTGGGCCTAGAGATGGAGGCAGGACAGCTCACTGAGGAGCTACTTCAGAGTGAGCGGGCAGGACAGGCCTCCCGAGGGCTGCACCTCACAGAGACCACTCAGGAAGTCCCCTCCCACCCCAGCACCTACAAACGGACCTCAGAAAGACCTGTCCCTCCCTGGCCAAGCATGGACGGGCCTAGAGATGGTGCCCACCGTGGGCTACACCTCTGTCCTGGCTCCTGATGTAAAACTCGCCACCACGGAAGACACTGTCCGTAAACACTGAGGGGTGTGGAACCCACTCTGATTCACACTGCCTCCTCGGGCCAGGCCTGGGAACAACTCCACTGATCTCCCACCCTCCCCATGCCTCCACCTCGGCCCACAGGGAAGTGCTGAAGACCTACAGCGTGGCCATGGACTACCCCACGCTCTTGCTGACCGTGTGGAACTTCGGTGCGGTGGGCATGGTGTGCATCCACTGGAAAGGCCCCCTGCTGCTGCAGCAGGCCTACCTCATCATGATCAGCGCCCTCATGGCCCTGGTGTTCATCAAGTACCTCCCGGAGTGGTCCGCCTGGGTCATCCTGGGCGCCATCTCCGTGTATGGTAGGTGGGCTGTGGGGGGCCGGGACCTCCCCGCTCCAGGAGACTCCCCTTTGTAAAACGGCCCCAGGGACTCTGTGGTGTAGAGGAACCCCATGGCCAGGCGCTGCTTGTCATGTGGCCATTGTCACCCTACTGAGTGTGGGCCCTGGCGAGCACCGGCACAGGCAGCCGCGTGTTACTCAGGGCGGCCCCAGGGCACTGGGTCTGGTGCCAGTAGGTAACCTGCAGTATGAGCTGCTGTTTGGCCCCCATCGGCACGATTGCTGTGGTCAGTATCCTACCCCGTTTTTCAGAAGGACCTTGGGCTCCTGTGGTTCCTAGGTGCATGGCACTTCCTGTTGGCAGCTACTGTCCGGGTCCCGCTCTGGGCTCCACAGTGCACACCGTGGACTGGGGCCGGAAATGGGTCAGGCCGGGCCCATCCGGACAGCTGCAGCCGGGGCTCCTGGCCGTAGTGGGCAGCTCGGGAACAAATGCCTTCTTTAATACACAAAGATGCCTCTGTCTGCCCAGATCTCGTGGCCGTGCTGTGTCCCAAAGGGCCATTGAGGATGCTGGTGGAGACCGCCCAGGAGAGGAACGAGCCCATCTTTCCTGCCCTCATATACTCCTGTGAGTGGCCTGTGCCTCTCCCTGGCTGTGGGGACAAGGGGCTGGCGGTGGTTTGCAGAGCTAACGGCATCGGCTCTTTCCCGGCCAAAGGAAGAGCCGGGCCGGTGCTCCCAGGGGAGTGTGCCCTCCGTGCCCACTTTCGCTGTGCCCAGCTGCCACAGCGCAGGCGAGGTCCGAGGGGAGGTGGCACCGGGGGGCGCGGGGCAGCCCCATGACTACGGTGGGTACAGAACAGACCTCATCTCCAGAGCCATGGCCTTTGGAGTCCTCAGCCGGCCCCACTGTCGGGCTCCCTGCGCGGCCTCGGAAAGGGACTTTGCGGGGTGGCTGTGGCCCTGCTGGACGCGGTCGCTGACCAGCCACTCGGCGCCTGGCAGTCTCAGCCTCCAGCTCCAGGGCTCCTGTTCTCAGAGCTCAGCGCGGTTGGGGAGGGGGAGAGAGGCCAGCGGGCTGTGAAGTCTCACCGTGACATAGGGACTGCGCACTCGTGTTAGAACAGCGGGTGGCGGAAGCAGCCCACAGAGCACTCCGCCTGGGGGAGGAAGGGAGTTCTTTCTGCTTTCTCTTTTAATTGGCTCATTTTTACATCTTTCTCAGGTACATTATGGTAATGCAGTGCATATATAAAATGTGTTGTGATCAAGTCAGGGCAACAAGCGTTTCCATCCCTTCAAATGTAGTCGTTTTCTTGTGTTTGGAACTTTGTACTCTTCTAGTCATTTTGAAATATATCTTGATTGTTTTGACCGAGTTACCCCGCTGTGCTGAGGAAGAACCAGGATTCCTCTGCTCGTCCTATCCCTCCGTGTCCCTTGTTGGACGTCTTCCCATCCCGTCCTCTGCCCTTCCCAGCCTCCGGTGACCCCTGCTTTGTCCCCTTTGCTGTAAGACTTGCGGTTTGCACACATGCGTGACAGTGTGTGGTGTCGTCTTCTGCGTCTGGCTTGTCCCACCTACGGCCTCCCCTCGTGTCGCTGCGCGTGGCAGGATTTCTCCTTCAGGCTGCAGAATACTCCACTGTGTACTGTCCGCGTTCTTTGTCCTGAAGGGCACCTCCGTTGCTGCCGAGCCCTGGCTATTTTGCACAGTGCCGTAATACCCGCAGGAGTGCAGACAGCCCTCGGCTGTGATGATCACGTCTCTGGAGACAGCCTGAGTGTGGGACTGCTGCATCTTCTGGTAGCTCCGTTTTAGGCTTTTGAGGTGTCTCCATCCTGTTTCCCCACGATGGCTGTACGAACAGTGTTCCCACTGTAAATGAGGATGCCTCTGCGTCTTCACCAGCGTTCACTGTTTGTTTTCTTGGCGATGGTCGTCCTTACTGAGGTAGGTGATGCCCGCGTGGTGGTCTTGATGAGTGGAGCCAGCCGTATCTCCAGGCGCTCACTGGCCATTTGTGTATCTTCTTTGGAGAAATGCCATGTAGTTGCTTCATCTACTTTTCAGTGGGATTGTTTGCTTTTTTGGTGTTCAACCTTCTCAATTCCTTACATATCCTGTGTATCAATCCTTTGTACTAATCTGAGAACATTTTCTGTTCTATAGGCCGTCTCCTAATTCTTCTCCTTGTTTCCCTTGAGGAACAGAAGCTCCATAGTGTGTTAAATCCTCGTGTCTATTTCTGTTTTTGTCGCCTGTACCTTCGGAGTCCCACCGTTTTCTTTTGGTAATTTCACTTCCAGGTTTTACACTCAGGTCTAGATCCACTTAAGAGTCAATTTTTGTGTATAGTTTGAGGCAGCTCCAGCTTTATTCCTCTCCACGGCGCATCCAGTTTTGCCAGCACCCCTTTCTGGAGAGGCTGTTGTTTCTCCACTGTGCGCTCACAGTGCCTCTGTCAGAGACCTGTTGCCTCTGTGAAGGCGGATTCCTTCCTGCGCTCACCCTTCTGCTCTTCTGGTGTGTAATTTGATTCTTTGCCATTACCATCCTGTTTATTTTCTATAGCTTTGTAGAGTGTTTTGAAGTATCCTGGCGCCTCTGGCATTTTTAAAAACTCAGGATTGTTTGGCTGGTCTGGGTCTTTTGTGGCTGTTACCTTATGAGTTTTAGGATGTTTTTCTACCTTTAATGAATTTGCTACTTTTTTTTCTTTTTTGAGACAGGTTCTCACTATGTAGTTCAGACTGCCCTGGAGCTCACTGTGTAGCCCAGGCTGGTCTCACACTTGCAGTGATCCTCCTGCCTCAGCTTCCTGAGTGTCGGGATTACAGGCATGCGCCACCATGACTGGCTGGGTTTGCTACCTTAAATGGGTTCAGAGCTTTAGTTTTGCAAGATGGAAAAGTATGATCTTTACATGTACTGAACTATACACTTAAAAATGGTTAAAATAGTCGGGCTTGGCGGTATGTGCCTGTAATTACAGCTATAGCTGAGGCAGGAGGACTGCATTTCGAGCCCACCCTGGGCAACTTCCCAAGACCCCATCTCAAAAAACAAAATAAAAAGGGCTAAGTATGTAGTTCAGCACTCTGTGGGTTTAATCCTCGGTACTACAAAACAAAGCAGAACAGAAATGAATAGGGTGTTACCTTGTGTGTGTGTGTTTTTCAGCTTTGAGTTTATTGGTATATTTTAGGGATACAGTACAGTTACATTCATTGTTGGGATCTTGTACCTCTACACGACAGGTCTTGGTTCTCATTTTTTCCCCTTGTCCCTGCCCTCCCTTCACCCCCTCCTCCCCTCCCCATCTACAAACACTTTATTTCCATCTTTTCATCATCTCACATTTTTTTCTTTTCCCTTTTTACCCTTCCCCTACCCGTCCCACCTTCCCCACACCTTTAGCTCCTTTCTTCCCATTTCTCAATGTCAGTGATCTTATTACCTTGTGTGTTTAACCACAGGTTTTGAAACAGTTTTTCACTAAACTGTTCACTCTTATTATCACCATCAGTTGTTATATTGTGAGGAGGGCAGAAAAAGAGAACGGTGCCCTCTGCCTGTGCCTGGACCCCTCCTGCAGTGGCCCCTAAGGACGGACCGCAGCGCAGTACCATGGGGTGGGGTCCCATGGGCTCTCCAGGGACACAGCCTGTGGGCAGTGCCGTGACCCTGTCTCCTTCCTCAGCCGCCATGGTGTGGACTGTGGGCATGGCGAAGCTGGATCCATCCTCGCAGGGAGCCCTGCAGCTCCCCTACGACCCGGAGATGGGTGAGTATCGGGGTGACAGTCTGTCATCGCTGGGGTCACCTTCTCCCCCACACTCCACTTGGCCTGCTCTCTCTGAGAGGCAGAGGCTGTGTCCCCTGAAAGCCAGCCTTCCTGGATGCTGGAGTGGGCCCGAGCGGGCTGACTGTCCCCTGTGCCTGGTCTGTTCCATCTCCGCCCGTGGGGCTGGTGGCTGGGGACAGGTTGCTTCGGGTCAGGCAGCCACGCTGAGTGGGAGCCTCCTGACCAGCTTCCATCTCTCCCTCATCCCTCCTTGCGGCACTGACGGTGGCCTCTTCCTGGACACCCAGAAGAAGACTCCTACGACAGTTTTGGGGAGCCCTCGTACCCTGACGTCTTTGAGCCCCCTCTGCCTGGCTACCCCGGGGAGGAGCTGGAGGAAGAGGAGGAAAGTAAGGTGCCGCGTTCAGGTGGTCCGCTGTGTGTGGGGTCCCCGGAGTCCGGGTGGAGCAGCGGCAGGGGGAGAAGCCTTTCCATCAGAGGTGACTTTCTGGACCCTGAGGAGGAGCCAGCAGAGCCCAGCTGGTGCTGGGCCAGGGCCTCTTCAGCACTGAGACGGAGGAGACTGGGGCCTCCCGGAGAGCCGGAGAAGCCAGTGAGCGCATCTCCTCCTGTGTTTGTTACTTCTCACTGCTGAGACAAACTACCCGACACCCAAAGTGAAAGGAGCTCACAGGGTAGAGGGTTCAGACCATAATGGGCTGGCTCTGAGGCAGGGGGCCACAGTTCATGGTGGTGAAGACAGCAGAAGTCACCAGGGGACCTTACCAGCGTCTTCCCTTCTCCAGACTGCGTAGGGTGGGCGGTGCTCACACCCTTAGCTCAGTGCCCTCAGGCCTAGCATGGACCCTGACTCAGGCTCCAGATCGGGTCACCTCTGAGGAAGCCCCTCCTCATTCGCATGAGGCTTTGGGGGACACTAGACAGCCACAGCCCCTCTCTAGGGGCGGAGCCTGAGAAGCAAAGGCAGAGTGGTGCAGGGCTTGGGGACTCGGGCTGGACCTCGGAGCAGGGCTGCAGCCTGTAGAGGCCCTGGAAGCTGCCTGGTGTCTCGTCTGCTGGGCACAGATAGGGAAGGCGTCCTCCCAGCACCACCCGCTGTGCCCAGCTCGGGCACAGACCCGCAGGTGGAAGGGCACCATCCCCGAGCCTGGCCCTCATCCACGTCAGCCGCAGAGCCAGGCAGTCTGCAGGTCACTGCACTCCTGGCCAGCTGGCCACCAACCTGGGCATTCCAGTTTGCTGGAACAGCTTGGGTGCCATGGCGGGGCGGTGTGGCCAGCAGCAGCTGTGGGACAGGCTGTTGGAGGGCCACCACTCGGCTTTAGGGGTCCCGCCCCAGTGAGCAGAGCCACTCGCCAGGCCTGGACTCTCCTCCGTCCCCCTGAGAGAACTGAGAGGAGATGGGACAGAGCCTTTGTTGGGTGGGGAAGGGACGTGGAGTTGGAAGCTCCCCTCGCCTGCCTGGGGAGGACCGAGGGCTGCAGGACACCAGGTGGACACAGGTCACCGATAGTTACCCACGTACAGGAGGTCAGGGCTGGGCACCAGAGCAGAGCTGTCCCTGGGTCCATGTCGTCCAGGCCATGGCCCAGACCTGGGGGCGGCAGTTTCAGAGAGAGAGGGGAGGGTGCTGGGAGAGGACCTGAGGAGGACCCAGAGGGGCACAGGGACATCGGCCAGCCTGAGGGCCTCCAGAGAGCTTGGGGTCTGTAAGTCCAGGCTGCAAAGGAAGCCAAAGGAAGGGAGGTAGGAAGAGCAGAGCAAGTGGGTGCTGAGGCAGTGGCAGGGGCCGGCTGGGGCTGGGTGGGGGCGCGGGTCACTTACGACCTGCCCTGTTCCACACCGCCCCACTAACCAGGCTGGAAGGCCTTAGAGGGCCTCAGCTTCCTCGGCACTAAGGGGAAAACTGACCACCAATTGCGTTCTTCTTACTGCATGGGGAATCAGTCTGCAGGGTGCCTGTGTCCCCTTATCATCCTCCATCTGGCAAGGAGTGGAATTAACCTAAGCGTTTGTCGTTGTCACTCGCCTTGGCACAGAGCCGCACAGCGCCCGACCCGGGCAGTGCGCTATTCGCTCCTCACTCAGCCGCTGCCTGCCGCCAGCTCCTCGGCCCGGGTCCTCAGGTCCCCACCTGGCTGCCTCTCTGAGCCTCCTCTCTGTGCCCTGTGGGTGTGGCTAGGGCTGCTGGGCTTCCTTGCCCAGTGGCCCTGTCCTCCTCCTGTTGTCTCCCTGCTTCCTGTCAGCTCTGGGGCTGACCAGGCCCTCTGCCTCCCCACATAGGAGGTGTGAAGCTTGGCCTGGGCGACTTCATCTTCTACAGTGTTCTGGTGGGCAAGGCGGCAGCTGCGGGCAACGGGGACTGGAACACCACGCTGGCCTGCTTTGTTGCCATCCTCATCGTGAGTGTGGGGTCGTCCGGGGGCTTCAGCTGCTGTCTTCCCTCCGAGGGTGCGGTCACCAGCTCTGCAGCCTGTGGGGCAGCATCAGGGAGGGGACCTTGGTGCCAGCATGGTGAGGTGGCACGGGGCATGCAGGAGCGGGACCCAGGGGCATCCCCAGCTGTCCCCCCACTAGCACTGGGTGTCACACGCACAGCTCGTGGGGACGGTGGGCCCCGTATGTCAGGGAGGGCATCGTGGGCCTGGGCTCCTCCCCTCCGTTGTCCCTACTCTGGGCGCCTGGGGCAGGGGCAGCAAGGGCCCCGAGGGGACGGGTCACACCGCACCTGTGGTTCCCTCAGCGTTGGCCCTTGAGCGCCTCCCCGGTGTCCTTTTGGGGAGTCCCATTCCCGAGCACCTGTGCCTGTCCACACCGGCGGTCACCGTGTCCCTGCCCTCGGTGTCCACAGGGCCTGTGCCTGACCCTCCTGCTGCTCGCCGTGTTCAGGAAAGCACTGCCCGCGCTCCCCATCTCCATCACCTTCGGGCTCATCTTCTACTTCTCCGCCGACAACCTGGTGCGCCCCTTCATGGACACCTTGGCCTCCCACCAGCTCTACATCTGACGGGCACGGCCGGCCGGAGCCCGGGGCAGCTGTGTAGTCTCACACATTAGTGCCATATATTTTTAACACTTCTTTCCCTGAAAAAATAAAGAAAAAGATATCGTGTTTACTTCGTGACGAGGAAGTAGAAGCCGCTTTTGGTGCTAGCTGTGTTGTCACCAGACTCCGCCTCGCCCACTTGTGCACCTTGGGCCGCTGACAGGACACAGCAAGCTCTTCCGTGTGAGCTGGGAAGGTCGCATGATGTGCTGGCTCAGAGCAGGACGCCGGTCCCCCTACCTTCGAGGACTGGAAACCTCGAGGGCACAGGAGGGAAAAGCCCCAGGCACAGGTGCGCTCTGGCCAGAGAGGAAAATCCAGGTACCCGTCAGGCCCTGCCCAGTGCTTTCTCTGTGGTGTCCTTGTTGTGTTACCTGTAGAAACCGAGTCCTGTTCTCCCTGCTGGGACGTGGCTTCCTGTGAACACCAATAAATAGATTGCTCCTGTGGTGATACTGGCTGTGGGTCTGTAAGGGCCGTCTGCTCCCTGGGAGAAGCTTCCTGTCCAGGGCTCTGTGGTGCAGGCTGCAGGCCGAGAAGAGCAGGTCCCGCCTCAGTCCCGCAGCGCCAGGCGATGGCCAGGTCTGTCCACGGCAGGAGAAAGCCACTCTGCTCCGGCGTCACCCGGCACAATGGAGAGGAGAGAACAGGAGGCTCTGCCCTTCCGCTGCCTGACAGCAGATGCAGGTAGGGACCCAGGCCCATCTTCCAGGCGCTGCCAAGGACGCAGGCGTGCGTTTGGTGATCAGGCACGAGTACTGTGAAGTAAAAGGGCGCTGCCTCTGTGCGGACAGGAGCCCTCTGCCCTGCGTGGTCAGAGGAGCAGAGGCAGCTGGGGAAGCAGTGGGGAGGGGGCAGCCAGCTGATGAGTCAGAGGCCAGGGGAAGAGGGGTGGGTCACACAGCAGAGTGGAGGGGCTGAAGAGGTGAGGTCACAGCTCTCCGGAGGATGGGGAAACGCTGTGAAGGTCCACTGGGTATGGCGATCTGCAGTGTTGAGTGTTCAGACTGTCAGCTCGAAGAGGACCTGGTGAAAGGCCTGGCCAGGGGCTTCCAGTGCGAGGCAGAGCAGGGTGAGGCAGGGAGACGGGAAGGGGTGCGGGGGGCCTGGTGGCCAGGGCTCAGGTGTTAAGACTGGGAACACAGCGTGTGCAAGGGCCCTGCGGAAGGGAAGAGTCCCGAGGAGCCTCAGCATTGGGGACCCGGGGCTCAGGGAGACGGGGGCCCCAGAACATCACCAGAAGAAGGAAGAGGAGTGTAAAAGATAGAATTCGGACGCGCGGACACAAGTAGGTCGGCACACCCTCCATTCTCCCCGTGTCGCCAGTCTGTTACATCAGTGCCTTCCCATGTTTGCCACAGATCTGCTCCTAGAAATAAAACTTCTGGGTTCTGGAGTCCTGTGTACGGCCCTCTGATCCTGTTGCCTTCCTCCCTGATGGAACCCGGGCTGCCCAAGTGGCCCCGTAGTTCGTGTTGCTCATCTCCCAGACCCCCGTGCACGGTGGGAACACACCTCAGTCCTGACCACTGGGAGGGAAGCGGAAAGCCAGTGGGTCTTTCGGAAAAGCTATTTCCTGGATCTGTCTTTTCCTTTTTTATGCTTGTGGGGGATACAGACCTGACACTTGGAGGTGTCACAGCCACTTTGTGACTGTGAGGATAAATGCCACAGGTACAAGGAGGTTGGGGGCTTGAGGACCTCTTCAGCAGCCGCCCTCACTACCAAAGGCTGCTTGTGTTACAAAGACAAGCCTCACTGTACTCGGGATTCTGGGACACGCAGCCAGTGCAGTCTAATTTCTAATGTGTTGTTGCTCCACACCCTGCTCTCTCAGATTTACTTCCTTTCCACCAACTGCTGACCAGGGCTGTCTGTGGAGCGGCAGCTCCACTCTGGTGCAACGGTGACAGGGCCCCAGCTGGCCGAGGTGGGGCTGCTCAGGGCTCTTGGGTGAGCAACCTCTCTCGACTGGGCTCAATTCTTTTCATTTTGTTCTTTGAGATGAAATCTCACTACGTAGCCCAGGCTGGCCTCAAACTTCTGGTGATCCTCCTGGCTTAGCCTCCCGAGTACTGGGATGACAGACTTGTGCTACCATGTCCAGCAAAAGTAAGACTGACTTTTGAATCACTTTGAAAGCAACAGAGCATACATCCCAGCTCTTAAGAATTTCCATGATGAAAACAGAAGTCATGTTTTCTATTACTAAATGAAGAAGCCTGGTGCCCATCACCCCGACACCAGGGAACACATGATCTGAAAAACTCCTCCTCCAATGTCCAGTTCCCAGCACATGCCAGACGTGTACAAGGCTATGCGTGTACCTGGAGCCACACCATTTTTCGAGGACTACATCCTGGAGGAGAGATGGTGATCACTTTGGAGAAAACAATCAAAATGAAGACCAAATTGCTTGTAAGAGGAGCAGATGCTGATTTTTCAATGCAATTCAATAACTTTCATATTGCCATCAAGGACACTACAATTTCATCATGGCCATAAAACTAGTGTGTAAAATAGGAGAGTGAATGTAAAAAGGGTATAGTTACTGCTTTTCATGGTCGCAGAATAAGACCCACGGTGGACTGCAGTGTCTGGGGAAAGCACTCTTATACCGTTGGTGCTGCTTCTCACGAGTCAGGTCCAGTGCTGGAGGCCGGCATGGACGGTCTCATATGCAGAGACCAGTGGGGCAGGGCCCACTGCATTCCATGGGCAGGATGGGCCCAAACTGGATTTCAGAGAAAGAACAGATAAATGGGAGGAAAGCCAGCTGAAGCTAAATGGTGACCAGACTCTTACCTGAACACGTACTCAACCTCACGATTTTATCTTAAATGTTAAGTATTTACATATTTGGGAATCCTCCTGGAAAGTAGCTCTATTTCTGTAATGCCAACTTTTTTCCCTTTTTAAAGTGATGTACAAATACAAGATAACTCGATTGCTACCAGAAAATGGACCTGCTCCCCCTGTTCTGGAGAGGCCAGACCAATATTGGCAAAAGGGCCACACTCCCCAAACTGATACGCAGATTAAACGCAATCCCGATCAAAGTACCAACAGCATTCCTCACAGAGCTAGAGAAACAATCCTAAAGTTCATGTGGAACCAGAAGACACCCAGAAGAGCAAAAGCAATCCCGAGCAACAAGAGCAGAGCAGGAGGCGTCACAACAGACTTCAAATTATATTACAAAGCAACTGCGATAAAAAATGGCATGGAACTGGCACAAAAACAGATGTGGGTCAATGGAACAGAACAGAGGATACAAAAAATCCCTAGATGCATTCAGCTTTTTTATCTAAAGCAAAGGGGCCAAAAATACACGATGGAGGAAAGACAGCCTGTGTAAGCAACGGTGTCAGGAAAACTGGCTTTTTTTATGCAGAAGGTTGAGGCTGGACCCTATCTCTTACCACATATGAAACTAAAATCAGAATGGGTCACAGAGCTAAACATTAAAACAGTGAACTTACTGGAAGATAAAACAGGTAAACACCCAAAGTCACTAGTGTAGCCAAGGAGTTTCTGAGCAGAACTCCAATTATACAAAAAGTACCGGTAAAAATCAACAAACAAGATGCTAGCCAATGAAAAAGCTTCTGCACAGCAAAAGAAATGATCAGCAGAGAGAAGAGACAGCCTAGAGAATGGGAAACATTGGCCAGCGACTGATGTCACCTTCCGGGCCTGCCAGAGGACAGGGAGTGTGACTTCCACTCTGTGTGGAATTCAGACTCTGCTCTTGGGAAGGATTTCCAAAGCTGTTAACTCTGGAGGTAACGCCGTGTCCTGTAATCTGTCTTGTTTTATTCGTCAAATAATGAGACCACTGTCATCTGGCTTCTCAGCTGAAGTGGTTTCCAGGGAGAGTGTGATGATCACATGGATCATTTGGTGGCTCTTTTATTATTATTTTTTAAAGACAGATTCTTGCTGTGTAGCCTATGCTGGCCTCAAACTCAAAATCCTTACTAATATTGAGGTTTTGTGAGTTCAGGGGAGTGAATCTGTCAGTTTGGCAGTGGGCTTGGGCCAGCGCAGATGGGTGCACCAGCCGAGGTAGGACCCAGCCAGGACCAGGCCGGGGTCGGCGAGAGCAACCCTGAGTGCCTGTGCCCACCGCAGGTACTGCTCCAAAGGCGCCCCCTGGTGCAGGCTGGCACCCCAGGTCAGGGCTGCGAAGCCTTGTGGGAAGGGAAGAGCTGCCCCCCCCCCACCACTTCCTCCAGCAGGCCAGGCCCTGGGGCCGTTAAGATAGTCAGGTCCCTGCCTCCACCACACCTGCATGCCGGACTCTGCTCTCAGATAGCAGTTTCAATGACTTGCTGCCACCTCGTGGCCAGCACCAGTAGCTCATCTGAGACAGATTTTGGCCTCCCAGAGGGACCAAAGACAGGTTGGTTCCATGTGGCAGGTGCCAAATGAGAACATTTCCTGAGATGAAAAGAAAATAAGAGAATGTTTTCCTGAAAACAAACAACAAACAAACAAAAAATAAACAGTATAAGAATTGACAGAATTAGAGCCAGGTGTGGTAGCACATATCTATAATCACAGCACTCAGGAGGCTGAGGCAGGAGGATCACTGTGAGTTCAAAACCAGCCTGGGCCACATAGTGAGTTCAAGATCAGCCTGAACTACATCAAGAGATCCTGTCTCAAAGTGGGGGGCGGGGAGAATTGACAGAATTTGTAAATAGTCAAAAGAAGTGACACCCTTGTCACAATGGGATTTTCTGGATAAATCATATTATAAACTTGACTTTTCCTGGATTTGATTGCATTTCCTTGGCTGAAAACCCTGAAGACTGTGTGGATTTGTTTTCTTTGCCCACTATGGGAATGTCTGGCCTCATGAAGAGGGGTGGCCGCCGTCCTTAGGGGTGATGCCCCTCTGTCCTTCTGTGAGTTCCTCTCTAAGGCTCTTGTGTGTCCGTCTCCTTCACCAAGACCTCGAACTGTGCTCTCGAGCCTCCCTGTGGATCTGAAAGAGAAGCATCTATAGTTTTCTGAACAGTGCCGCTTGCAGGAATGGGGTGGCAGGGTTTGGCTCCACACATCCTGAGTTCAAGGCTGGCCTGGACTCCTTAGCAAGACCTGTCTCAAAAACAGACAAGGCCTGGGGATTTAGCTCAGTGGTTCTGCCATCTGCCTTGCCAAGCACAAGGACCTGAGTTCGAACCTCGATACCAAAACAACAAAAAAGAAGCAATATCAAAAACAGACAAAACGAAACAAGACCCAGGAAGATGAAGTGAAAGTATCAATGTCCCCTTAGATTATTCTAGCTCTTAAAACTAATTTTTCCTTTAGCATTTGAGAAAATCAAATAACATTTCCCTATTATTTTTGTCACCATTAAAAGGACAATATTGATATCATGTCTTGGATTTTTTCATGGACAAATATGAAAAGTTGGGGGGACTTTCTAAACAGTGGAGCTGGGTGCCACAGCACATGCCTGTGGGGGACCGGGGCCGGAGGATGTGGGTTCGAGCCCAGCCAGGGACATTCCTGAGGCCCTGTCTTTAGATGGAGTGGGGTTGTTCTCAGTCTGAAGGTTCTGGGTTCAATTCCCAGTACCACACAAAAGGAAAACAAAACATGGCAGAGTTGGCCATCACTGAAGCTGGGTGAATGGCTGTGAGGATTTATTACTTGGTCTCTACTTTTTGTGTACTGAAAACTGATGCAAGGAAAAATAGAAACAAAACCAATTGAAAAATATATGACGACTGCAATTTGCTTAAAAAATGTGATGGAAACTATAACTGTAAGCTAAGAACACTTGTAACCTTCAGAAAGGTAAAGGATTGTGGTCATCATAAAGATTTCGAATACGTTACCCAAGACTAAGAGAGTAATACAGTTTAAGTAATACTGGACTGGATCCTTTCTAAGTTCTTGTTCACATTTTAACATTGAGAATTGAAATACAATACAAATAGTCCAAGGGTACTTGGCTTGTTCCTGGAAAACAGAATTGGCCCTACTCACAGCTTTGCTGCTTCTGTTTTCTTTTCTTCTCTTCGTCTTTTTTTTTCTTTTTTTTTTCCTGAGACAGGGTCTCACTATGTAGCTCAGGCTGGCCTCAAACTCATGACAATTCTCCTGCCTCAGCCTTCTAGAGGGCTAAGATGTCAGACATGTGCCGGCTTGTCAGTTGTGCCTTCAGTACTATGGCACCAAATCCTTTCCCCTCAGTGGTGTCTCTCCACCCACCTTTCAGTTTACCAAAGTCAACTCACTGCTGCTTCGAGTTTTGTCATTTTTATTCAGTCACAAGGTATGTGAAGATGGCTATGGTGGTGCACGCCTGTAACCCCAGCACTCGGGAGGCTGAGGCAGGAAGATTGTGAGTCCAAGGCCAGCTGGGGCTCCACAGTGAGACCCTGATACGTATGAGCAAAATCAATTACCTCAAACCAACAAACTTTAAATTTACATAGAATAGATGTTGGCAAACTCTGGCCTGTGGGCCAAATCAAGTCCTCGGTCTGTTTGTATACGACTCATAAGCTAAGGGTTTTTCATGTGTGTAAACAGATGATTGAGAAAGTAAGAACATTTCATCATATAAAAATTATGTGGCCCATGCACCTTTTCCAGCGGATGACACTGATTCCCCCGACCCAGCGCCAGGAGGGTAGCCACACAGGTGCAGCTGAGCAACCCCCACCCCCCCAGCTCTTAGATCCCCTGATGGAGCCAGTCCTTGGATGCACTCTGCAGAGGCATGGCGGGCTATAAAGGGTGGTGATTGATCCTATTGCGTTCCTGATTGTATCGATTGGGATAAAGGATAGGGATTGATTTGATGAGTTGTTTTCTCAATTATGAAAATGAGAATGTCTATAAGTCATTAGAGAATCAAAGGCTGGGATGCAACCATATCAGGAAGATTTAATGACCCAGAGATTGAATCAAGGGCAACCCAACAGCAAAAATAAAGATGAGAAAACACTTAAGCAAGCCACAAAGACTTCCAGTCCACCAATGGCAAACAGTAGGGC